GGAAAGATCAAGGAAGGATTATTTCTTTTTCAGATTGCATGAAATCTGTCGAACAGTAGTTCTGTATCAGTACTTGGTTTCTTGCAAAAATATCTATCCTTGAGAATTTTTTTTAATAGCAGGAATTTAATTTTTACATCTATCTGTAGGACACATCCTTATCTTCTCTTTAATAGTGTTGATCTTTACTTAGATATGTTGTTTTGCTGTTAAATATGTCACATATGGTAGTTGGTCCATACCAGTTAGTCCTGCGGTTATTGTAGAGCAGAACATTATGTATTTTTTCTTTGCATTATGTCTATTAATATCAGCAGTTCCTCCACACTTCAATTTATTGCACTTGTTTTTTTTCCTTAGGACTGGAAGAATCTGGAATTCTGGAGAAGTAAACTGTTCTCCCCAATATTCCTTGCAAGCTGCAAGGCAGTTAGAATTGCAGCTACTTAAGTAGGAACTGGGAGTTTCCAGTTAGTTTATAAGAAACCTGTTTATTGTAAGTTTTAGGAATTTATTTTAATTTAGCATGATGTTTTTCAATTTTTGGATCAATTGTCTGAACTGGACAGGGGTTTGAAATGAAAACCAGAAAACTTCAGCTTTAAAAATGTTGTGTTTTAATTTTAAGTGTGATGATTATGATGCACACAGAGACCACCTAATAGTGGGCAACACCTGGAATTGTTCTGTAAATTTGTCAGTACTAAGTAATGCTGGCATCTCCAGATCATGTATTTCTTCTCTGAGAATAAGCACTGGAGACTAATTAGGGTTGTGTGGTTCTGTAGGACTAGTTTAATTTTTTGCCTGTGCTACTCACATTTCTTATATGCCATCACCTCTTTCTGTTCTGAAGAAAGTATCTTTTTGGATTCTTTGATAATTGGTGGGCTAAAGAGAGAGTCTTATTATGGTGACAAAGGAAGAAAGCTTGTACTGATGCTACACAATGCTTTCCTCTTGCTTTGCAGGGCTGATGGCAGTCCACAGGAATCTAATTTATCAGGTCTGACTCTTTAGCACTTTAAAATCAGTGAGTTGCAAAATGAGGCCAATTCTAGTACCATCCTTAAGTATACTTTTGAAAGTTTAAATTCAGCAGTTTACTAATCACCTCAGCAGCACAGACAAATAAGATAATGTCTTCCAAGGGTAGCAGAAATGCAGTAATCTGATTGTTGAGTCAGTCCTTTTTCATGCCATCACAGACTGGGATTTTCTGTTTGATTTTCTGTAAAGATAGTTCAGTTCTGTGCTTGCTGCTTTTCAAAACTTACACATTTGTAACATTTGTAAATACAGAAAGCAGGTCAGATTGACAGTGTTAAGGGACAAAAACTGTGATGGGGGCTGTTATATGTATCACGCCAACTGTTCAGAAAATTTTCTTCCTGGTCTTTCTTTTCATGGTTTACATTTTTCAAAAGCTACATGTGTGACAGTGTTGATTGGCAGGGTTTTAATCAAGCTTATTGTACCTTGTAAGCCTGACCAATTTCTGGGGGGACGTATATGCACTGTGTACCATCATTGGCAGATTTTATCACCAGTGATTATACTTTTCTTTTTAGTTAATTGATAATATATTTTCATAAGTTTTTAGTAAAAATCAGTTTTCTGTACTACTTAATTGACTGTGTATTAATGTCAACAGCATCTGAGATTGCATGGTTTCCAGTATCACACGGTGTTCATAATATGTAATGCTAACTTTTAATTAGAAAATTTAATAATACTTTTTTTTTTGCATCATAAACTGCTTTTAGTGAGATAAAACTTACTGGATAAACCTGAAAAGACTTTTGAATACTGGTTACTTGTCTTCCATTTCATAGTGATGTAGTTATATATTTTTGTGCCTAGAAAGATAGTTCATGAAGATTTTTTTCTTGTTCCTGTATTTAGCTTTTACTTTATCAAGAATCATAGTGTTTCTTGAAGATATTTAAATCCTCCTATAAGAAAAATCTTATTTTATGCTTATGTCCCAAAACATGACCTCTTGTCCCTGTCTCAAGCTGTTTTCTGGGTTTTCAGTATGGATGGATTAATGCGACATTAAACTATCTTAGTGCAGCTAGAAGGTTAAGATGATTCTGGCAGAAAGTGAAGGGGATTATTTTACAGTCAATGAATATGGTAATTTCCACACTAAATGTAATTGAATTGTTATGAGGCATAGAACATACCAAATTTGGTTTCATATTTTACTTATGCAGAGGAAAGGAAGACAAGCCATGGTCACTTCTTCAGCGTAAATCAGGACTCAGTTTCTGGTGCAAATACAGTTTTGAATTCCTGTAAGCAAGGGCTTAAACTTCATTTCAACTTCTGCTGCTGTGCTGATTTGAGCTGCTTATTCTATCTGTGTTGTTGAAGAGCATGTCCTTTTGACATTCAAGTAGCAATCTATTTTTTAAATTCTGTTAATAAAAAAATATTAACTAGTTACTCCTTGAATGTATTAACCACCATGTATTAAAATATTGACTACTTACTATTTAGCCACAGTCTTTCTCAAATCAAATCTAATCTTTCTTTTATTGTGAAAAAGTGATAGGATTTTTCCCTATTTCTTGAAGCCCAGCAGCAGCCCTACTTGAAACAAATAAGTTTTTCTCCCACATCTGTCCATTGGAGAAGTGAAGATTAGAATTGCTCAGCCCTTGAATTTTCTGAAGGAATGTCAACTTTCTAAGTAAACATAAAGTTTACTTTTAAAAAACCTATAATTTGCCTTCTATAAAGACTTATTGTAAGGACAGAGACCTTTGTGTCTTACAAACAAAAACGCAATTTAATTTTGATTGTGGTTCCTTTAGCTTCTCACTTGGAAAGTAATGCCAAGCTTCATCTACTACTTTATGTCAGTGTAGATTTGGTAGCTTTAGTGGACATTGTCAGTTTAGTAGGCATAGTGTGTCAACTAGCAAAGGATTAAGAAATGGATTGTTATAATTGTGTTTGGAATATACAGCGCATGAATGTGCTTGGAGTAGTGTGGAGATCAGTCTGTGCCCTGGTGTGGTGACAGTGCTGGGGAGGGGTGCTAGAAGGGCATGGCTGTTGATGTGGAAGAGTTGTGTATTGGTTAGTGTTCACCTAGGTAGCTGGGTAACAGGGTCCTGCAGTCACTATAAAACTGCAACAGAGAAAAACAACCCCGAGACCGAATTACTTTGTGTCTTTCCGTCGGCTTTAAGCTTAGGAATAAAGGTAGATCCAGCACCTGGAGAAGCAGGAGGAACACTGCACTGTTTGGGCAACACCACAGGCTGAGCAACAAGAAATAAATCTCCTTGCTGCTCGCCTGACAGGGAAGGAATTATTTATCAGTGTTGTGGCACAGAGATGCACAACTTCCAAATACAGCAGATACAATTATCAACCGTTTGTTTCTTTCCTTCCCTCTCCCCCCAAATAATTGTGTAAATAGATGCCTAGTGGTTCTCTGGAGCACACGGGGAAAAAATGACAAAGCTTTGTAATAAATTGGGACAATATGAATGGTGACAAGCAGAAAGGGGCAAAATGAGGAGAACGGGAGTGTAGCTTCATAAATAAAATCTTTAAAGCAGCAGTCAGACTTTTCATTAGGGAAGTTTGGGACAAGCATCACTGTTGTCTGAACACTGGTGCTTGTGTCCATGATGGGACACACTGAGGTGCTCTCTGCATTCCCCTAAAGAAACTTTAAATGAAAACATGCAGAGACCATGCTAAATCTCTAGCAGATGGCTTGGAAAGCCACCTTGGCACAAATTCTTGTCTAAATATCTTGAGAAATAAGTAGGTACATTTTATTGAAGAAGTACTACGTTTAAACACAGAAATGCATTAACAATGTTATGTGATAGAAAACTGTAATATATAATCTGTTTTTCTATTTCATGGCCCAGATGGTTGGTTTGTACAATTCCTGAAGTTCATTTTGTTGCTGTGTACCAAATAGTGAAGAAAACCCACATGTCTGGAGTTATTTTTATAAGTGTGTGCTTGAAAACTATTTCAAACCTTTTTAAAGCTTGGCTTTATCTAGAATAATTGCTATTTAATAATGAAACAAACCAACTCTTGGATCTGTCACAAACTTAGGATTTATAAAAACTAATTTCCCTAATTTGTTCTAAACCATAATCACATTTGGGTTATTGAAGTGTGTTATGTTATTGAATATGAAAAGAAGCATCTTTCTTACTTTTCATGGTGCCCTTTTTACATTCCTGTCCATGTTCTAGAGGTGGTTTCTGCTAAGGGAACAATGCCAGGGAACCTAATTCTGTTACACAGTCTGCTAAACCTTCTCTTGATCAAACCAGGTTTATTGGAACTTTAGTTCAGATACCACTGCTGTAGTAAACATCTGCAGCAGGATGATGTACAATGTTTACCCACACATCTTTTTCTTCTTGCTTGTGAACCTTCCTGTTGTCATATCCTTATGCTTATTCCAACTCTGGGTTGCCCAAGTTGCAGTTCTGATACTATAATGAAGTCTTTCTCTGTTCTCGGAGAAATAAGTCTTAGGCAATTTGTCAGATGACGTTGTGCAGTGTTTCTTCAGCATTCATCAGTATTCTAATCCCTCTCTACAAATCCTGTAAATAGTTCACACTTTTGTTTTAAACCAGTACTGTATGTTCTGGCTTTTTCTGACTATGTGAATGTGGAATTGGGAACTAGTAACTTCTACTGCTTTCTTCAGTCTTTCAGTTGGTGGGCTGTGGCATACTATTTTTTTAACTTTATTGAATGTCTGCTTTGGAGAAAAATCAAGAACGTCATACCCTCAGCAGTTAGGATACCATCCAATAATTGTATTTTAATCTGAGCAGTATTCAAGACATGCACCAAGGTCATACTTTGCTGTGATATAATTGTTTTGGCGTTTCCGCATCTAAGTGCTCTCTCTGAAGCTGAAGTTTGTATTCCAAGTATTAGCTGCAGTTCTTTGCTCACAAGGGAGACAATGTGAACAGCATTATTTTAATTCTCCACAGGTGCAGATGCTGAGCAGGATGCTGCTATCAAACTTGCCCAAGAACGAGCAGAAATAGTTGCCAAGTATGACAGGGTAAGTCAACTTGATAATAATGTTTATATATATTTCATAATTAATCTTAGTAGTATATGTTTAAAAAATGAATCAAGATTCCCACTAGCTTTTGTCTCAAATACTCTCTGTAGTATTAATCTTCTGGTTTCATGATACACTGGCCTTTGGGTCAAATAAATTCTCTCTCCACAGGGGATATTGTGGATAATGACTCAACTTATTTTACAGGTGCACAGCAAGTTCCTTTGGGGGTATTTTAAGGCAGTGTAATGTATTAGAAGTAATGAAACTGGGATGTTTGAGGATGCTCAGTGTATCTATGAGATCAGAAGGACTCTTATTTTACTTTTTATTATATTTTGGTTATGGTAATAGAAACATTTAAATCATCAGAGACTTAAAAGATGAGTGAAGAACAGTTTTTCAGAGTGTATGGTACTTGTCCCTGGGTACCTGGCACTGGTGGGGTCATACCTTGAATGCTCTGTTCAGTGTTGAGCCTCTAACTGCAAGAAGTACACTGAGGGGCTGGAGAATGTCTAAAGAAGGGCAACAAAGCTGGTTAAGGGCCTGGAGAACAAGTCCTTTGAGGAGCAGCTGAGGGGACTGGAGTTGTTTAGCCTGGAGAAGGTTGAGGGGAGACCTTCTCTCTCTTTACAACTACCTGAAAGGAGGATGTAGTGAGGTGCGGGTTGGTCTCTTCTCCCAGGTAACAGGATGAGATGAAATGGCATCAAGTTGTGCCCGGGAAGGTTTAGATTGGTTATTGGAAACCATTTCTTCATCAAAAGGGTTTTCAGGCACTGGAACAGGTTGCCCAGGGAAGTGGTGGACTGACCAGCCCTGGAGGTATTTAAAAGCTGTGTAGATTTGGTGCTGAGGGACATGGTTTAGTGGTGGACTTGGCAGTGTGTGAGGTTAGTGGTTGGACTTGATGATCTTAAAGGTCTTTTCCAGCCAAAATGATTCTATTCTGTGAGGAACTGAAGAAATACCCTGGCCATAACCTTTTTTTCTTTAAGTGCTTGTGAAGTAAAAGCCTGGCACAGAGTGTGCCTAGAATGCCGACACCCTATTCACTTATTCTTGCAATACTTATGGACTTTATAAGTGTCATTGGAGTACTAAGCAGTACACTTGTTTGTACAGTTCATGAAACATTTTGCATGCCAGACTTAGTGGTAGTTTGCACAATGCACTTAAGTCAGTGGCTGTGGTTTTTATAATAAGGAGAAAACATGCATGTGGTTTGTGTTCTGAGTGGTCGTTTCTCCACACCCAGCAACCTGCTTCTAGCCCAAACTGGAAGAATAGATAATGGAAATATACTTAAGTTTCTGCAAGTCTTATGCAAATTGGCAATTGGAGTAGAGGAAGGGAACATGAAGGAGAGCTTCACTGAGGGAAACCTCTGTGCTGCATTCTGTTTGACAGCTGTTGGAAGTCAGGACAGATCTTAGCTTGAGATTATTCACAGTATGTGCTGTTGTCATGTGATGGTTCAGGAAACATGGACTATAGAAATAGAGCATGGTGTAGGGACCTTGATGAACTATTGTGAAGATTAACAACACGTGAGATTTTGATAAGTCTGTTAAAATCTGTGGTTGAAATTTATTCTGTGTGTAGCAATGACCAAGACATATCCTGAAAAATCCTATTTCCTGAAAATACTGGTTGTAAGGCCTGGGAGAGGTGTGCTACTCTCCCATTTCTTGGCTGGTCAGTTTAGGACTAGTGTCCTTCCCCTCCTCTACCCTACTACCATTCTGTCCCAAAAATTATGTTTTGAGTGGTTAAATCCTGTCTTCTGTATCTTAGCTTATTGTGTTGTAAAACTTAATTTGGCTCTGTTTTGATTCTTTCCTTTAGGGACGAGAGGGGGCACAGATTGAGCCATGGGAAGATGCTGACTACCGTCTGTACAAAGTCACAGACAGATTTGGGTTTCTCCAGTAAGTAGCAAACTTGAAAAGAAAATGAGATTAAGACTTTGCTACTATTATCATTTATGCTTGTTATTGTGTTGCCTATTTGGTGAAAGTATGATGTCTTTTAATAGCTCATTGGGAAATGCTGTTTTAAGTTTTGGGTAAGCTTTCACTGTGCTTTTCAATTCAATTTCTAGCTGTTTTTTAGTTCTGTAACTTGATCCTGTGTAGGAAGCAAAAGGTTTTTGAATGTTTTATTTGGGAATAAAAATTGATAGTCTAAAAAAAAATTATTTCAAGCTCAATTAAATTGCAGATAAGTTTTGGTTTTAAGTAATAAGGTTATGTGTAAAGAAACTTGAAGTTCTTGGAAGGACTTTTAAATGTTTTGTTATAATGTTGATCTTTACAAATGGTTGTATATGAAAAACTGTGTGTCCCAGCCTTTCAAAGGTAAATCTCATTTAACTTAATGTATTTAGTAACCGTACTGATGTCACTGTTGATTTGACACCTAATGTTTCATCATAAATTAAAATCGGATACCTGACTGAATTCTGGTATTTTATCCTTTATGACAAATAATCTGTGTCTTTTTGGCAAATAAGGATGAGAGTATTAAATTGTTTTAGGACTTTTGTGTTTGACAGATGGAAATACCCAACTTGTATACTAACTATGTAGTTTTATAATATTGGCAGGGGGAAGGGTGTGTGTATTTTGGTTTTGGGGTGATTTTCCCCTCTCATGTTTTGTAATGTCATTTTTTTTATAAGCTATCAGTGAAACCAGCAGTCTTTACCTGTAGACTGCCTTCACTTCATCAGGCTGAATTAATTTGGTATGTGGCCTCCAAACAGTTCTATTTTACACAGAGATCTTTCTGTTGGTAAACTACAGCTGCAGCACCGTGTGTCTGGTATTGTAGCTGCAGTTCTAGGCATTCTTAATGGTGACTGGATGTCAGAATTGTTTCTTGTGCAAAAGTGGCAGAAGTCACTGCTAAGTTCATCACTGATTTCAATAGGAATTGAATCATAGGTCTTCAGATTTACAACTGGATTCTTGATTTCAGTCTCCTTATGAACTCCTGAACTTTTCCTGTTAATTGTATTGTGATATTTGCCTTCCTCTATGGCAGAATGTTATCCATGTCTGCTACAGTTGCTGCTGCCATCGGTTTTCAGGAGTCTTGGATTTCATGGCTCCAGTGCCATAGTATATTTGAGGTGGGGTTATGGAGGTGCTGCTTGGCAAATCTCCGTGTGCTTGTTTCTGTGCTGCTGCTGTAGCTGTAACTTCAAGCTACTGTGAGCACCCTTCCATCACACTGTGTTCTTTCTTGTGATGTAGGGAGGAGATGGACCTTAGTCACTAAACCATTACTTTAGCCTGGAGAAGGCTGAGGGGAGACCTTCTCTCTCTTTACAACTACTTGAAAGGAGGATGTCATTAGTCACCAATGCAAATTTTATGTAGAATTCATCCTCTCCATAGTCAACATTGAGGGATGAAATCTGAAATATGTATAACACAGGCACTGTACAAATTAATAATGTATCTGTGTACTCTGTCTTTCTCTAATTGTATGGTATTTTTTGATTATATGCTCATGATGTTTCATTGTAAGACAGATTGCATGTGAGAGTGGCGTCAAGGCTGCTTTATGATTCTTTAAAGCAAACTCCTTGCAAATGATGTTTTCTTTTTCCTGAGAAATAAAATATCTCCTAGTAGGAGAAATACAGAAAAGGCAATTTATATTGCACTTGAGATTTTAACTGTGGTCTAGGTTTTCATGTATACTGAGCCTGTGCCATCTACTATTTCTGAAATAAATTCTTACTGCTACAATAATTTGAAACTAAGCAGTATGTACCCAAAGCCTCAAACAGTTGCCTTAATGGTTATCACCCATAAACCCCATAATTCTCATTACCCATTTATCAGGTGTTTACAGTGTGAATTGACAAAACAGGTGAGAGTCTGGGGACAGTATCAAACTTAACATACTCAAGTTGAGATCTGCAGTGATTTCTAATCTTATTTGTGCTGACATGTTAAAATACTCAGTAGCTGAAAAATGTCTATTGTATCAGGTATCTACTGCATGTGGGAAACCTGATGGAAAGTTAGGATTTGTTTGCTCGAGTACAATAGGCCTTGATTACTATCGGTAGTTTATAAACTTCTCTTTCTCCTTGGCTATATCCTGTCTGCAGCTTTCTTTGGGTCTGTGAATGTGCATCCAAAGCTCAGCTGATGACTGATAGGGCAGCAGAGATAAGGTTGGTGGGATGAAGCATGCAAGCTGCCTGTGTAACCTGCCACTGAGAGTAAGATAGGAGAAAGTAAGGACTAGAGACTTTCTTTAGAGTAGTTTCAGTTTAGCTCTATGGTTCTTCTAGTGTCCCAGTGTCCTTATTTGTGTTTCAATTTGGAATTAGTAAACTTGGGGAACCTGAAGATCCTTATACCTCTACAGTCTTCCTGTCATACCCATAGAAGTAGGTAAAACTGTTCAGATTTTCTTCTGAGAACACATTGAGTAGCAGAGGGAAGATGCCTTGTTATCTAGCAGTGTAGATATTGCTCATGATTGGAAAGAGATATGACATTTCACTTCAGGTGAAATATCTCACCTTAAGGCTAACCTTCATTTAAGACTAACGTTTGAAATATCTGTTGGGCAGCTTTGGTCAGTTCTGATGGTTGTTGTATTTACTGTTTGCAATGGTTAGGACCATCTTTCTTTAGCACTGCCTTAAATTTTTAATAGCTGCAGCCATGTGAACACAATTGAATTTGTTCTTCATAGTACCATTTTTTATTTTGCAGTTCTGGAAATGAATATGTAAATTCTAGTTGACTGTCAATATTAAAGGGAAATTGGTGTGGACAGGTTATTAAAACATCTATGTAAAAACAAAAATGCTGAATTAATACCTAGTGAATTTAGGGAACAAGAAAGTTCATTGAGAAGTACCAAAGCATTATAATAATGAGACTGGTTTGAATTGAATAAAGGGAAGTTTTAGAGGGAAGTTGGATGTGAGAAGAAAGTTTCCAGCAAATATGCTAAGCTGCAAAATAACCCTGTGGGGAGCTGGAGGGTCCTTGTCTCTTGAGATGTTTAATCCCAGACTATACAAAGCAGAATGCAACCAAGAGGAGTATTGTCAGTGGAACTGGCTCAGTTGTAAGGGGTATGTTTTCAGCAGGGTATCTTATAAACTACATGAGAGGCACACATAAACCAGAGAGAGATAAAATCTCATTATTGACTAAAATGTAGAAAACTTGGCTTTACCAATTACTGTTGTGTGAGGCTGTAAGGAAGTGGTGGTCGTCATGTTTCATTTAAGCCATATGGTGTTGCTGGCAAGAGTCTCAACTTGGGGAATTTTTTATCTAACTTATTGCCAAATAACATAGCATTCTGATTGCTGATTTGGATATTAGGGGGGGACCCCAAAATGTAAAACTTTTAACAGTTAAACATGTAGGGGAAGTGCTTCTCTCCCTTCTGCCCCTAGGACAAACTTCTCGTTTTTTTTACTGTGGGTTACCCTGGGCTTGCTCCAGTTCCCTTGGTGAGATGACAGCAGTGCATGGGTTTGAGGTCCTGCATGCAGTTACTTCATTCTGCCACTCTAGATTTCTTTCTTGTGTTTGTCTACTACTCTTTGTATCTTACTCATTTTCTGCTGCTTAGGAAGGGTCAACCACAGGCTGCAGTCTCTTTGGAGATGTGCCTCCTGTGCCATGACATGTCTTATAAGAGAACATCTCCATCCATGTCCCCAGCATCTCCTACTTATCTCTTCTACTTCTCCCCACATCTCCTCCATTTTTGCTATTTTAAAAATATGTTTTTAGTAGACGGATTGTGGGTTTTTCCAGCTGACTGAAGTTTTGGCATATGATGGTTTTGTAATAGCAGATTCAGAACTGGCTGGAGCAGCCATGGCTGACATGGAGCAGCTCATGGTCCCCTTCCACACAGGTCACACCCGCAGTCCCTGGCTCCTGAGACTGTGCATGTAACTGCCATATGGGGTATGAATTAAGCACTGGAAACTCAAGTTATAAATAAGGTAACAGAGACATTGGCCAAAGGTGCCAAAATTTTCTGGAAATGTTGGTAACAGAATCCTGTAAATGTGATCGTGGTTACTAGATTGTTATACAATCCCACAGTGTGTTTATTTCCTTCTGGAGGGCTGAGGATGCATTTCGAAAGAGATGCTTTCAATGCACTGTTTTCCAAGATGGAAAAGCCATTTCAGAGTCCAGAGGTCACATATTGGCTCTGAGGGAGCTACGAGTCAGACTGTGATGTGCCTTCTCATAGCTGAGATTATGCAGCACATGTGCCACCTCGACCCAACTGGTAGCTGTTGATACTTTCCAGTGCAGTATTTCTAACCCTGTTACATGAAACTTGATTTGCAAAGCAATACAAAAGGCAAAGTAGCATTGGTTCATCTCAGTACTATTTAATACAGTCATAATTCCATTAGAATTGTTAATTGATACAGACTAGTTTCTATTAAGTACTCCTGGTCTTCCTGAAGTCACCTGGTATACACGGAGTAATGCCTTAACTCTTCACTTACGTAATTTTTTATCTGGGAGACGCCCATGTCAGGGAGCTCGTTTCAATCATGAACACAAGAGTCTCATGAGAACAGACCAGTATATTCCTGCAGGTGCAGTGTGGTTACCTATAAACCTAAAAATGTGTTTAAAAAAAAAAATAATAAAAAAGATTAAAAGGCAGCACCATCCCTACCCAAAACATTTCAGGCATGGTCCTCATTCTGTATATTCAATCATAGAATCATAGAATCACAGGGATTGGAAGGGACCTCTGAAGATCATTGAGTCCAACCCCAATGCTGCAGCAGGAACACCCAGGGCAGATCACACCGAAACACATCCACATGGGTCTTGAAAGTCTCCAGAGAAGGAGACTCCACAATCTCTCTGGGCAGCCTGTCCCAGGGCTCCTTACAGTGAAG